TCGCCACTGGTGAGACAAAGGCGGCCGAGCGTGGTGCTGGCCATCCACCTCCTCGTGTGCCGTGCCGGCCTTTCTAGGTGCTCGGCATGCAGCACTTGCGCCAACAGTCTATTGAGACTATACGGGGAATCTTTGTCCTTGACTGTCCTTAAAACTGCCTCCTCCGTTTTCACTGCTCCTCTGCAGGAGGTTTTCCGCTGCTAAATTGATGCCACTTCTCTTTAGGAGGAGGCCAACGATCCGAGAGATCACCGCTGGAAGAGCACCTCCCCGATCACCACCAGGACCGGGGAGAGACATCTGTGGGAGATAAAAGAGCTTCATAGCTCATCGGATTCCTCCAGTTTGCATATTTCTGTCGCCGGTTACGAAATTCGCCGCTGCCCATTTGAGGTGACGGCCTGCATCGGCGGTCACCTGAAGGCCTTCGCTCGCGAGGCCACCACCTGGGAGGTCATTTTCCAGCGGGCACCATCTGGAGATCATCACCTGAAGGCCTTCGCTCGCGAGGCCACCACCTGGGAGGTCATTTTCCAGCGGGCACCATCTGGAGATCATCACCTGAAGGCCTTCGTTCGCGAGGCCACCACCTGGGAGGTCATCTCCCAGCGGGCACCATCTGGAGTTCATCACCTGAAGGCCTTCGCTCGCGAGGCCACCACCTGGGAGGTCATCTCCCAGCGGGCACCATCTGGAGATCATCACCTGAAGGCCTTCGCTCGCGAGGCCACCACCTGGGAGGTCATTTTCCAGCGGGCACCATCTGGAGATCATCACCTGAAGGCCTTCGCTCGCGAGGCCACTGCCAGGAGGTCACCACTGGAGTCTCGGCGGTCGTCGTCTGTCTGTCCGGGTCATCACCTGGAGGCCACCACTGCAAGAGTCCACCGCTGCGCGGTCGACTCCTGCAGTTCTTCGTCTGGAGGTCACCGCTGCAGCACCCACCACTTGTCGGTCGTCCCCTGGAGGTTCATCACCTAGAGGTCAGCACCTTGGGAGGTTACCACAGGGAGGTCGACCCTTGTAGGTCACTGTCTAGAGGTCGCCGTGTGCAGCAACCACCACCACCGGGAGATCACCAGTGGGAGGTGATTTGAAGGTGTTGTCTCAGAAGCCACCTTCTGCAAACGGGTCCAGCACCAGCACCGCCGTCGCTGACCGGGCCTCCAACTACCAAGGTGACGGTGGTGGTGGTGACGGTGGTGGTGGTGGTGGTGACGGTGGTGGTGGTGGTGGTGGTGGTGACGGTGGTGGTGGTGACCTGCCCGGCCCCACGATGTACGAGACGGCGGCGAGCTCGGCGGCCGTGTACGTGGGGCCCGCCGCGTCTCTCCTGCCGGGCCTCCCCGCCGCCTACCTGGCGCCCCCGGGGCAGCGCGGCAGCCCCGCGGGCGGTCTCTCCCCCTGGGGTCACTCCGACTCGCCCCTCGCCCTCCAGGCACCTCAACAGCCGTACCCTCACCACCTGCCTCACCACCCTCACCACCCTCACCACCCTCACCACCATCACCACCCTCACCACCACCACCACCACCAGTCGCTACATCACCACCCGCATCTCCAACAGCACCAACATCAACAGCACCACAACCACCTTCAGCAGCAGCAGCAACAGCAGCAGCAGCAACAGCAGCAGCAGCAGCATCAGTACCAGGGACAGCTGCAGGCGACCCCCTTCGCCTATTCCCCGGGGCCCCACACCCCGCTGGGAGGCCCGCACTACCCCGGCTTTGGGTCGGCCGAGGCCGCGGCCTGCGGGGCCTCCTGGGCCGGCGGCCACCCCTACGAGAGCGCCATCCTGCCGGGGTTGGTGGCGCACGGGGTGAGGAGGCCGCTGCCGACGACCGGTGAGTGGCGCCCCCTCGGACAATGCGCGCCGGGTCGCCGGTGCGGCTGGACCTCAACATGAGTGTCCGTGCTTTGTTGCGGTGGGGAGTAAATATCGATACTGGGGGGGGGGGGGGGGGGGGGGGGGGGGGGGGGGGGGGGGGGGGGGGGAGAGACAAAGGCGGTCGGCGTGGTTCTTGCCACCCACCGCCTCCGTGTGCCGTGTCGACCTTCATACGCGTGAGTCTATGGGTAACCGTGTGATGAGTCTATGGGTAACCGTGTGATTAGTCTATGGGTAACCGTATGATGAGTCTATGGGTAGCCGTGTGAGTCTATGGGTCTCTGTGTGAGTCTATGGGTCTCTGTGTGAGTCTATGGGTAACCGTGTGATTAGTCTATGGGTAACCGTGTGATGAGTCTATGGGTAGCCGTATGATGAGTCTATGGGTCTCTGTGTGAGTCTATGGGTCTCTGTTTGAGTCTATGGGTATCCGTGTGATGAGTCTATGGGTCTGTATGATGGTGACACGTGGTGATGGGTGGCGATGGTGATAGGTACTGCTTGTGACACGTGGTGATGATGTCGATGGGTAGTGATGGTGACACGTGGTGATGATGTCGATGGGTAGTGATGGTGACACGTGGTGATGATGTCGATGGGTAGTGATGGTGACACGTGGTGATGATGTCGATGGGTAGTGATGGTGACACGTGGTGATGATGTCGATGGGTAGTGATGGTGACACGTGGTGATGATGATGATGGGTAGTGATGGTGACACGTGGTGATGATGGTGATGAGTAGTGATGGTGACACGTGGTGATGATGGTGATGGGTAGTGATTGTGACACGTGGTGATGATGGTGATGGGTAGTGATGGTGACACGTGGTGTTGATGATGATGGGTAGTGATGGTGACACGTGGTGATGATGGTGATGGGTAGTGATGGTGACACGTGGTGTTGATGGTGATGGGTAGTCATTGTGACACGTGGTGATGATGGTGATGGGTAGTGATGGTGACACGTGGTGATGATGGTGATGGGTAGTGATTGTGACACGTGGTGATGATGGTGATGGGTAGTGATGGTGACACGTGGTGTGATGGTGATGGGTAGTGATGGTGACACGTGGTGATGATGTCGATGGGTAGTGATGGTGAAACGTGGTGTGATGATGATGGGTAGTGATGGTGACACGTGGTGATGATGGTGATGGGTAGTGATGGTGACATGTGGTGTGATGGTGATGGGTAGTGATTGTGACACGTGGTGATGATGGTGATGGGTAGTGATGGTGACACGTGGTGTTGATGGTGATGGGTAGTGATTGTGACACGTGGTGATGATGATGATGGGTAGTGATGGTGACACGTGGTGTTGATGGTGATGGGTAGTGATGGTGACACGTGGTGATGATGGTGATGGGTAGTGATTGTGACACGTGGTAATGATGGCGAAGGGTAGTGATGGTGACACGTTGTGATGATGGTGGTGGGTAGTGATGGTGACCCGTGGTGATGATGGTGATGGGTAGTGATGGTGACACGTGGTGATGATGGTGATGGGTAGTGATGGTGACACGTGGGGATGATGGTGATGGGTAGTGATGGTGACACGTGGCAATGATGGTGATGGGTAGTGATGGTGACACGTGGTGATGATGGTGATGGGTAGTGATGGTGACACGTGGCGATGATGGTGATGGGTAGTGATGGTGACACGTTGTGATGATGGTGATGGGTAGTGATGGTGACACGTGGTGATGATGGTGATGGGTAGTGATGGTGACACGTGGTAATGATGACGAAGGGTAGTGATGGTGACACGTTGTGATGATGGTGATGGGTAGTGATGGTGACACGTGGTGATGATGGTGATGGGTAGTGATGGTGACACGTGGTGATGATGATGATGGGTAGTGATGGTGACACGTGGTGATGATGGTGATGGGTAGTGATGGTGACACGTGGTGTTGATGGTGATGGGTAGTGATGGTGACACGTGGTAATGATGGACATAGGTAGTGATTGTAACACGTGGTGATGATAGTGATGGGTAGTGATGGTGACACGTGGTAATGATGGCGATAGGTAGTGATTGTAACACGTGGTGATGATGGTGATGGGTAGCGACGGTGACACGTGGTGATGATGGTGATGGGTAGTGATGGTGACACGTGGTAATGATGGTGATGGGTAGTGATGGTGACACGTGATGATGATGGTGATGGGTAGTGATTGTAACACGTGTTGATGATGGTGATGGGTAGTGATGGTGACACGTGGTGATGATGGTGATGGGTAGTGATGGTGACACGTGGTGATGATGGTGATAGGTAGTGATGGTAACACGTGGTGTTGATGGTGATGGGTAGTGATTGTGACACGTGGTGTTGATGGTGATGGGTAGTGATTGTGACACGTGGTAATGATAGTGATAGGTAGTGATTGTAACACGTGGTGTTGATGGTGATGGGTAGTGATGGTGACACGTGGTGATGATGGTGATGGGTAGTGATGGTGACACGTGGTAATGATGGTGATGGGTAGTGATGGTGACACGTGATGATGGTGATGGGTAGTGATTGTAACACGTGGTGATGATGGTGATGGGTAGTGATGGTGACACGTGGTGATGATGGTGATGGGTAGTGATGGTGACACGTGGTGATGATGGTGATAGGTAGTGATTGTAACACGTGGTGTTGATGGTGATGGGTAGTGATTGTGACACGTGGTGTTGATGGTGATGGGTAGTGATTGTGACACGTGGTAATGATAGTGATAGGTAGTGATTGTAACACGTGGTGTTGATGGTGATGGGTAGTGATGGTGACACGTGGTGATGATGGTGATAGGTAGTGATTGTAACACGTGGTGATGATGGTGATGGGTAGTGATGGTGACACGTGGTAATGATGGACATAGGTAGTGATTGTAACACGTGATGATGATGGTGATGGGTAGCGACGGTGACACGTGGTGATGATGGTGATGGGTAGTGATGGTGACACGTGGTGATGATGGTGATGGGTAGTGATGGTGACACGTGGTGATGATGGTGATGGGTAGCGACGGTGACACGTGGTGATGATGGGTAGTGATTGTGACACGTGGTGATGATAGTGATGGGTAGTGACGGTGACACGTGGTGGCGGTGGCACACGATGTTGCGGATGACGATGGTCGCGTGATTTGTCCCGGATGGCTCAGAATCTCTGGAGGACATCAATGATGGCCGCGAGTGCGTCAACTGCGGAGCCATGTCCACCCCGCTGTGGCGGCGCGATGGTACAGGCCACTACCTCTGCAACGCCTGCGGACTCTACCACAAGACGAGCAAAGGGGGGCGGCCCGTCTTCAAGGCGCAGAAGAGACTCGTACGTGTGTCGTCATCGTCCCACACCCCCCCCCCACCCGACTTGCATGACCGGTAACCAGGGGTGGGGCGGGGCCCCCAGGTGCCCCCCCCCCCCAAATCGGCCCGGGCGCTCGCTCCGGAATTCGTCGTGCACGTAAAAACGGTAAACCGCACGAATGACACTAAATAATGAAAATAATAATAATGATTTTTCAATAATGATGATCTTCTTGGTTCTTTCGGTAAAGTCACGTAGAATGGAAATAAAATAAAAACAATAAAACATAATATTTTATTTTATTATATTTTTGTTATGTTTTATTTATTATTATTTTATTTCCATTCTACGTGGTGACTTTACCGAAAGAACCAAAGAAGATGAATCCTTGCAGTCACAAAAGCTTTACATCGAAATAATGATGATTGTTACTATTTTAGTTTTTTTTAGTTTAAAGCTTTCGTGACTGCAGGAATTCATATTCTTTGGGTCTTTCGGTAAAGCCACGTAGATAGAAAAATAAAATTAAAAAATCACGACGTTTCGATCGCAACACAAGCAGTCGTCATCAGGTGGGACAACCACAGCAAGATAAAACTACTGAAGTAGGCCTACTTCAGTAGTTTTTTGTTGGTTATTATATTTCTACCCACGTGACTTTACCGAAAGAACCAAAGAGTATGGATTCCTGCAATCATTAAAGCTTCAAATCAAGATATGAGAATAGGTTTCCCCTTTTTTTGGCAACAAAACAGCTGTGTTAAGATGTTAAAACATCAAACTGAAACCTTTTACAAGGAATCATGTCTGCATTAACCACAATACTTGTGCTCAGAATGCAAACAGAAAAAACGTACTCTGATTAAATATATGCATTAGTAGTAGTAATAGGTTTTTACCCTTTTATCTGGCACCAAAACTGACACCTTTATAGAAGGGATAATGTTTGCAATAACCACAACACAAGCAGTCAAAATGCAAACAAAAATAGACAACTCTGATAATGATATTGGCACTGTCCTTGAAATTGATTGGTCCACACCCGAGACGGCTTTTCTTAGAGCCTAGTCTCCACTGGTGTTGGACCAGAAGAGGCCAAAAGTGTTGTGGTGATTGCAAACATGATGCCTTGTATAAAAGTGTCAGTTTTGGTGCCAGAAAAAAGTAAAACCTATTACTATATCTTTCTACTGGCAAAAGGTCTCATAATGTACATATATGCATTGTCTTTGAAACTGATTGGTCCACCCAGAGACGGCTTTCTTTTGAGCCTCGTCTGAAAACGGTGTTAGACAAGAGGACGCCAAAAGGCGTACAGTTAAAAAGAAAGCTGTCTCTGGTGTGGACCAATCAGTTTCAAAGACAATGCGTATATTTAATCAGAGTACGTGTTTTCTTTGCATTCTGAGCACAAGTATTGTGGTTCATGCAGACATGATTTCCTTGTGAAAGGTTTCAGTTTGGTGTTGTAACATCTTAACACAGCTGTTTTGTTGCCAGAAAAAAGGGAAAACCTATTCATATTTTGGTACTGGCAAAGGATGAATAATAAAATAGTTTAATCGTTTCAGTTTTAATAGTTTAGAGCATTTTGGCTGCCGCTATAAACTTCCACGCGACGATGATGAGTCACTTCGTGTCGAGCTGCGATCAGAATCTGAATATTAAAATTTCACGTTTCGTTTATTAGATATGGTCCTGTGTGAGCCATGCGGCTCTTGAATCTGATGAGCTATGAAGCTCTTTTTCACAGACGTCCAGTAGGGCACGGGTTGAGAACGTTAGAACAACGAGCAGCACAAAAAACGATAGTAGCGCAAAGTATAAGAAAGGTAAACAAATCACGCAGACGAAGCCCACTATCATTTGTGATAGCATACCGGCCAACCCCTTATCAGTGCCCTACCTCATTACAGACCAATTCAGACCTTATTGGTCACCCCGTGCCCCTTATAAGGAAGAACGCAAACACATAGCAACTTCTATTTGTGCCCTATTGAAACGGCTGTACGCCGGATGGACCTGAAAACTCAATGTCCCTGTACAAGAATACTGCTAAACCGCATGGGTTGACACGGTGTGTGTACTGCCTGCTGAGAGTTAGTCAACGTTACAATGCGCATCGTGAGCCGGCTGTAGCCACGTGTAGTACGTGAGTACATATATGTCTATGTGTGGTGCGTGTGTACGTATGCCTATGTGTGGTGCGTGTGTACATGTATGTCTATGTGTGTGGATGTTTGTATCTATTCAAGCCATAGCTTGGGTTGACATGTATGCGATAGCGAGGTCGCTTCTGAAAAAAGAGCTATAACATACTTAGCGGTGGGCCTTGCCTGGTTAAATCACAAAATCGTTTAATTACAGGGTGGAGAACGTAAGGCCCTTGGGCCGCATGAGGCCCTTGGGCCGCATGAGGCCCTTGGGCCGCATGAGGCCCTTGGGCCGCATGAGGCCCTTGGGCCGTATGAGGCCCGCGAAATCATTTGGTGTGGCCCTGCCAAGGCAACCGCAGGCGGGACTCGAAATTCAATAAATCTAGGAGCTGGAAAAGCAGTTGCGAGTAGCAGCAACATCGTCAATACCGGCTAACATCATCATCATCATCACCACGCCTCGCCAAAGAGAATCGGTTCCAGCCCATCACTTAAGGGGGCGAGTTAGTGCAATGTTTGACACAAATATAAACGGGCTAATTTTTTGTTTAGTTGATCATTTTGTATGGCCCGCGAATGATGTTACATAAATATCCAAATCGGCCCTTGGCAGATTAAAAAAAAAGGTTTCCCACCTCTGGTTTAATAGTTCGGTTTTAATATATGTTGTTGGTTGTTGTTGTTGGTTGTTGCTGTTGCTGTTGTTGTCACAGCAGCAGCAGCAGGCGGTGTCACGCCGGGCGGGGCTGCACTGCGCCAACTGCCGCACCGCCACCACCACGCTGTGGCGGCGCAACGCCGACGGCGAGCCCGTGTGCAACGCGTGCGGCCTCTACATGAAGCTGCACGGGGTACGCCTCGCCACCACCACCACCAGCAGCAGCTGCAGCAGCAGTTGCAGCAGTAGCACCACCACCAGTAGTAGCAACAGCACCAGCAGCAGCACCACCACCAGCAGCAGCAACACCACCAGCAGCAGCACCACCCCAAACACAGCAGCTGCAGCAGCAGCACCACCACCAGTAGTAGCACCACCACCAGCAGCTGCAGCAGCAGCAACACCACCAGCAGCAGCATCACACCACCACCACCAGCAGCAGCAGCTGCAGCAGCAGTTGCAGCAGTAGCACCACCACCAGTAGTAGCAACACCACCAGCAACACCACCAGCAGCTGCAGCAGCAGTTGCAGCAGCAGTAGCACCACCACCAGTAGTAGCACCACCACCAGTAGTAGCACCACCACCACCAGTAGTAGCAACACCACCAGCAGCAGCACCACCATCATCACCAGCAGCTGCAGCAACAGTTGCAGCAGTAGCACAACCAGCAGCAGTAGCACCACCACCAGCAGCAGCACCACCAGCAGTAGCACAAACACCAGCAGTAGCACAACCAGCAGCAGTAGCACAACAACCACCACCAGCAGCAGTAGTACCACCACCAGCAGCAGCACAACCACCAGCAGCAGCACAACCACCAGCAGAAGCACCACCACCAGCAGTAGCACAACCAGCAGCAGTAGCACAACAACCACCACCAGCAGCAGCAGCACCACGACCATCACCACCAGCAGCACCACCATCACGGCCAGCACAACCAGAGCCAGCACCACAACCAGCAGCAGCACCACCTTAGGACCCTGCTGGACACCGACGCTTGAGACACGGTCACACTTTCTTGGGCTAATAAAAAAAGCGGGCTGATCAATTAAAATAACGCTAAGCTGTGAAACGCCGCCGTGGCTAGGAGATGTTAACAACCTCGCCTGGTATACAGGAGGTTTTCGGTTCGACCTTGACGCTTGCCCTATATTTGGTGTCAGTATGTTCACCTCCGTGATCACGTGGATTGTTCTCCGGGGTCCTCCGGGTTTTCCCTCCACATTGAAACAACGTGCGTTTAGAGGATTTGGCGACTGCTCTGATGATGAGTCCACCTCGCGGACCGATAACTTGTGATGGTCAGGTCGCTTCTACAAAAAGAGCTACGCAGTTAAGTGGACTTTACCTGCTCAATTAAATTGTTTAAAATATCGCGATGACGAGAGGCCAACTGGCGACGCTGACCTCTCATCCCTCACCTGGGCCAGCCAAGAGGTGGCACGTGAGGTGGCACGTGAGGTGGCACGTGTGGTGCACGTGAGGTGACACGTGTGGCGCACGTGTGTGTGTGTGGTGCACGTGTGGTGCGTGTGGTGCACGTGTGGTGCACGTGTGTGGTGCACGTGTGGTGCACGTGTGTGGTGCACGTGTGGTGCACGTGTGTGTGTGTGGTGCACGTGTGGTGCACGTGTGTGTGTGGTGCACGTGTGGTGCACGTGTGGTGCACGTGTGTGTGTGTGGGGTGCACGTATGTGTGTGTGTGTGGTGCACGTGTGGTGCACGTGTGTGTGTGTGGTGCACGTGTGTGTGTGGTGCACGTGTGGTGCACGTGTGTGTGTGTGGTGCACGTGTGGTGCACGTGTGTGCACATGTGTGTGTGTGTGGTGCACGTGTGTGTGTGGTGCACGTGTGGTGCACGTGTGTGTGTGTGTGCACGTGTGTGTGTGTGGTGCACGTGTGTGTGTGGTGCACGTGTGTGTGTGGCGCACGTGTGTTGCACGTGTGTGTGTGGTGCACGTGTGTGTGTGTGTGTGTGGTGCACGTGTGTTGCACGTGTGTGTGTGACCATGCGGGTGCATGTGGGGAGCGGTGGTGCAGCGGTTGGCACGCTGCGCTCCGAACCCAGCCATCCGAGTTCGTTCGATTCCCGCTCACGGCCACCAACACCGGTGACGTTTAATCTGAACCGGTCCTGGACCACCCCTAGGTCGACTCAGCCTCAAATGAGCACCTGGTTCGGTGTGCAATAAACATCGCCACTGGGGAGACAAAGGCGGCCGGGCGTGGTTGCTGGCCACCCACCCCCTCGTGTGCCGTGCCGGCCTTCATAGGTGCTCTCTAACAGCACTTGCCCCTACAGTCTGTTACAGGCTATACGAGGGATCTTTGTCTTTGTTTTGCATGATTGGGGGGGGGGGGAACGGCACTTATAGTAGGTTAGCGTGCATTGCGCTACGATCCTTGTGGCCCGAGTTCAATTCACAGTCAACATCAGTGGCGCATATCTGAACTGCCCTTAAGCCATCCCCAAGGTCGACTCTTTAAACGAGCACCCTGTGCGGTGTGGAAACATCAGCAACTGGGGAAGACAAGACGGCCGGTCAGGCACCGGTGCCGGCCGGGCATTGGTGCTGCTCGCTAACGTCACTTTTCACCCCAACGCTCCGGCGAGGCTACATGGGGGCGCTTTGCCTTTGCCTTGTGGGCCACAGGTGGCGCGACCTCTGAGCATGAAGAAGGACGCGATCCAGACGCGGAAGCGCAAGCCCAAGGGCGTCGGCGGGAGCGGCAAAGCCAGGGCCGCGCTAGGTAGCTCGGCGCGCCTCCTACCCCCTCCCCTCCTCCCTCTCCTCCTCCTCTTCCTCCTCGCTGCCTTTCCCCTCCTCGCTCCTACCCCCTTCCTCGTTATCCTCCTCCCCTCCTCCTCCCTTCCCCTCCTCCCCCAATCTCCTTCCTCCCCTCTCCCCCCTCGTCCTCCCTCCTACCCCCTCCCCTCCTCCCTCTTCTCTCCTCCCTCCTCTCCTCGCTGCCTTTCCCCCTCCTCACTCCTACCGCCTCCTCCTCGCTCCTACCCCCTGCCCCCTCATCCTCCTCCCCCTCCTCCCCATCCCCCCCCTCCCCCATTCTCCGTCCTCCCCTCCTTCTCCCCCCTCGTCATCCCTCCTACCCCTCCCCCCTTATCCTCCTCCCCCTACCCCCTTCCCTTCCACCCTCTCTCCCCTCTTCCTCCCCCTGAGAATCTCGGGGACACTCGCGGGGCTTAAAATTCAGCCCCTGATATGTCCAGATGCGACACTCCGTAAACAATGCTGAATCATATTGGCTGTGAGTATCTCGTAACTTGGCATGCATCCAGGAGGTTTGAACTATTGACCCCCGCCCCGCCCCGCCCCCAGTGGGCATGGCATCTCCCGTGGAGCACAGCTCAGCGGCGCTGTCCCCCCACTCGCGGGCTCACGCGCTGGAGCTGCCTCCGTTCGCTCCGCCCGGCTTACAGGTGAGAGGAGCCTCCAGACTCCGAGATTCGAAAGTCCCCCCACCCACCCACCCCCCGCCCCTCAACCCCCACCTCCACCCCCACCCGACGGCCCGCTTCGTGACGCTACTGACCACTTCGTGACGCTATTGACTGTTGTGTGACGCTATTGCCCGCTTCGTGACGCTACTGACCACTTCGTGACGCTACCGACCACTTCGTGACGCTACTGACCACTTCGTGACGCTACCGACCACTTCGTGACGCTACTGACCACTTCGTGACGCTACTGACCACTTCGTGACGCTACTGACTGCTTTGTGACGCTCTTGACTGCTTTGTGATGCTAATGACCACTTTGTGACGCTATTGACCACTTTGTGACGCTATTGACTGCTTTGTGATGCTAATGACCGCTTTGTGACGCTATTGACTGCTTAATGACGCTATTGGCTGTTGTGTGATGATATTGACTGCTTTGTGACGTTATTGACTGCTTAATGACGCTATTGGCTGTTGTGTGATGCTATTGCCTGCTTCGTGTCGCTATTGACCACTTTGTGACGCCATTGACCGCTTTGCGACACAATTGACTGCTTTGTGATGCTATTGACCACTTTGAGACACTATTGACTGCTTAGTGACGCTATTGATGGTTGTGTCACGCTATTGCCTGCTTCGTGATGCTATTGACCACTTCGTGACGATATTGACTGCTTTGTGATGCCATTGACCATTTTGTCACGCAATTGACTGTGGTGTGACGCTATTGACTGCTTCATGATGCTATTGACTGCTTCATGATGCTATTGACTGCTTAGTGATGCTATTGACTGCTTTGTGATGCTATTGACTGTTGTGTGATGCTATTGACTGCTTTGTGATGCTATTGACTGCTTCATGATGCTATTGACTGCTTAGTGATGCTATTGACTGCTTTGTGATGCCATTGACTGCTTTGTGACGCCCTTGACCGCTTTGTGACGCATTTCACCACTTTGTGACACAATTGAATGCTTTGTGACGTAATTGACTGCTTCGTCACGCTATTGACCACTTTGTGGTGCTATTGCCCACTTTGTGACGCTATTGACTGCTTTGTGATGCTATTGACCGTTTTGCGACACCATTGACTGTGATGCTATTGACTGCTTTGTGATCCTATTGACTGCTTACTGACGCTATTGATTTCTGCGTGACGCTATTGACTGCTTTGTGACGCAATTGACCGCTTTGCGAAACAATTGACTGCTTTGTGACGTCATTGACCGCTTTGTGACGCTGTTGACTGCTTAGGGATGCTATTGGCTGTTGTGATGCTATTGACTGCTTTGTGATACCATTCACCGCTTCATGATGCTATTGACTGTTGTGTGACACTATTGACGGCTTTGTCATGCTATTGACTGTTGTGTGACGCTACTGACCACTTCGTGGTGCTTTTGACCATTTCGTGACGCTATTGACTGCTTTGTGACGCTATTGACTGCTTTGTCACGATATTCACTGTTGTGTGATGCTTTTGCCTGCTTTGTGATGCTATTGACTGCTTTGTGACGCTATTGACTGCTTTGTGACGCTATTTACCACTTTGTGACGCAATTTTCTACTTCGTGACGCTTTTGACCACTTCTTGACGTCATTGACCGCTTCGTCATGCGATTGACCGATTCGTGAGGCTATTTGCCACTTTGCGATGCTTTTGACCACTTGGTGACGCTTTTGGCCACTTCGTGACGCTATTGGCGGCTTCGTAACGCCTTTGACCACTTCGTGGCGTCTTTCACCACTTTGTGACGTTTTGACTGGTTTGTAACACCATTGACTGCTTTGTGACGTCATGGACCACTTTGTGACGCCATTGACCGCTTTCTGGCGGTATTGACCGCTTTGTCACGCTATTGACTGCTCCTTGACGCTATTGACTGCTTAATGACGCTATTGGCTGTTGTGTGATGCTATTGACTGCTTTGGGATGCTATTGACTGCTTTGTGAGGCTATTGACTACTTTGTAATACTGTTGCTTGCTTTGTGATGCTATTCTCCGCTACATGATGCTGTTGACTACTTAATGACGCTATTGACAGCTTTGTCACGCTATTGACTGCTTTTGGACGCTATTGACTGCTTCGTGGTGTTTTTCACCACTTTGTGGCTATATTTACCACTTTGTGACGCTTTTGACTGCTTTGTGATGCCGTTAACTGCTTTGTGACGCCCTTGACCGCTTTATGATGCTATTGCCTGCTTCGTGTCGCTATTGACCGCTTTGTGACGCATCTTACCATTTTGTGACACAATTGACTGCTTTGTGACGCCATTGACCGCTTTGTGACGCATCTTACCGTTTTGTGACACAATTGACTGCTTTGTCAGGCTATTGACTGCTTTGTGACGTAAGTGACCGCTTCGTGACGCCATTGACCACTTCGTGACGCCATTGACCACTTTGTGGCGCTATTGATCGCTTTGTGACGCCATTGACTGCTTTGTGACGCTATTGACCATTTTGTGATGCTACTGACCACTTCGTGACGCTTTTGATCGCTTTGTGACGCCATTGACCACTTTGTGGCGTCTTTCACCACTTTGTGACGTTTTTGACTGGTTTGTAACACCATTGACTGCTTTGTGACGTCATGGACCACTTGTGACGCCATTGACCGCTTTCTGGCGCTATTGACCACTTTGTGACGCTATTGACTGCTTTGTCACGCTATTGACTGCTTTGTGATGCCGTTAACTGCTTTGTGACGCTATTGACCACTTCGTGACGCCATTGACACTTTGTGATGCAATGACCGCTTTGTCACGCTATTGACTGCTCCTTGACGCTATTGACTGCTTAATGACGCTATTGGCTGTTGTGTGATGCTATTAACTGCTTTGTGATGCTATGCCTGCTTCGTGTCGCTATTGACCGCTTTGTGACGCATTTTACCGTTTTGTGGCACAATTGACTGCTTTGTAACGCCATTGACCGCTTTGTGACGCATCTTACCATTTTGTGACACAATTGACTGCTTTGTGACGCCATTGACCGCTTGTGACGCATCTTACCGTTTTGTGACACAATTGACTGCTTTGTGACGCCATTGACCGCTTTGTGACGCATCTTACCGTTTTGTGGCACAATTGACTGCTTTGTAACGCCATTGACCGCTTTGTGACGCATCTTACCGTTTGTGACACAATTGACTGCTTTGTCAGGCTATTGACCGCTTTGTGACGTAAGTGACCGCTTCGTGACGCCATTGGCCGCTTCGTGACGCCATTGACCACTTTGTGGCACTATTGATCGCTTCGTGACGCCATTGACCGCTTCGTGACGCCATTGACCACTTCGTGACGCCATTGACCGCTTTTGTGACGCTATTGACCGCTTTGTGACGCCTGACTGCTTTGTGACGCCATTGACCATTATGTGACGCTATTGACACTTTGTGACGCCATTGACAATTTTGTGATGCTACTGACCACTTCGTGACGCTATTGATCACTTTGTGACGCCATTGACCACTTTGTTGGCGGTATTGACCGCTTTGTCCCGCAATTGACTGGTTTGTAACACCATTGACTGCTTTGTGACGTCATGGACCACTTTGTGACGCCATTGACCACTTTGTGGCGTTATTGACCACTTTGTCACGCAATTGACTGCGTTTGTGACGCCATTGACTGCTTTGTGACGATATAAACTGCTTCTTGATGCTATTGACTGCTTCGTGATGCTATTGACTGCTTTGTGATGTTGACTGTTGTGTGACGCCATTGACCGCTTTGTGATGCTATTGACTGCTTATTGATGCTATTGGCTGTTGTGTGATGCTATTGACTGCTTTGTGATGCCCATTTGACTGCTTTGTGATGCTATTGACTGCTTTGTGATGCTACTGATTGCTCACTGACGTCTATTGATTGTTGTTATGATGCTATTGACTGCTTTGTGAGGCTATTGACTACTTTGTAATACTGTTGCTTGCTTTGTGATGCTATTCTCCGCTACATGACGCTATTGACTACTTTGTGATGCCATTGACTGCTTTGTGATGCTACTGATTTATTACTGACGCTATTGATTGTTGTATGATGCTATTACTGCTTTTTGATGCCATTGACTGCTTCGTGATGCTATTGACTGCTTTGTGACGTGATTGACTGCTTTTTGATGCCGTTGACTGCTTTGTGAAACCCTTGACCGCTTTGTGAGGCATTTCACGATTTTGTGACGCAATTGAATGCTTTGTGACGCTACTGACTGCTTTGTGATGGTATTGACTGCTTCGTCACGCTATTGACCACTTTGTGACGCTATTGACTGCTTTGTGACGTAATTGACTGCTTCGTCACGCTATTGACCACTTTGTGACGCTATTGACTGCTTTGTGATGCTATTGACCGTTTTGCGACACCATTGACTGTTGTGTGATGCTATTGACTGCTTTGTGATGCTATTGATTGCTTTGTGATCCTATTGACTGCTTACTGACGCTATTGATTGTTGTGTGACGCTATTGACTGCTTTGTGACGCAATTGACCACTTTGTGACGCATTTGACCGCTTTGTGATGCTATTGACCACTTTGTGACACTATTGACTGCTTAGTGACGCTATTGATGGTTGTGTCACGCTATTGACTGCTTCGTGATGCTATTGACTGCTTTGTGATGCTACTGATTGCTTACTGACGCTATTGATTGTTGTATGACGCTATTGACTGTTTTGTGATGCTATTGACTGCTTTTGTGATGCTATTGACTGCTTTTGTGATGCTATTGACTGCTTTTGTGATGCTCTTGACTGCTTAATGATGCTATTGACTGCTTGTGATGCACTTGACCGCTTCGTGGCGTTTTTCCCCACTTTATGACGCCATTGACCACTTCGTAACGCCATTGACCACTTTGTGATGCTATTGACTGCTTTGTGATGCTATTGACTGCTTTGTGATGCTATTGACTGCTTTGTGATGCTATTGGCTGTTGTGTCACGCAATTGACCGCTTTGTGATGCTACTGACCGCTTTGTAATGCCATTGACTGCTTTGTGATGCTGACTGCTTAGTGACGCTATTGATTGCATTGTGATGCCATTGGCTGTTGTGTGACGCAATTGACTGCTTTGTGACGCAAATGACCGCTTTGTGATGCTATTGACCACTTTGTGACACTATTGACTGCTTAGTGATGCTATTGACTGCTTTGTGAGGCTATTGACTGTTGTGTGATGCTCTTGACTGCTTAATGATGCTATTGACTGTTGTGTGATACTATTGACTGCTTTGTCACGCTATTGACTGCTTCGTGACGCCATTGACCGCTTTGTGATGCTGTTGACTGCTTAATGATGCTATTGGCTGTTGTGTGATGCTATTGACTGCTTTTGTGATGCTATTGACTGCTTAGTGACGCTATTGATTGCATTGTGATGCCATTGGCTGTTGTGTGATGCTATTAACTGCTTTGTGATGCAATTGGGCTTTGTGACGCAATTGACCGCTTTGTGATGCTATTGACTGCTTCGTGACACTATTGACTGCTTAGTGACGCTATTGATGGGTGTGTCATGCTATTGATTGCTTCGTGATGCTATTAACTGCTTTGTACGTGCATTGCGGCTCTGAAATGTTGAGGATTTTTTTTTATATCAGAAGAAACTGGCCCTTGTTATTTTGGGTTGCTGACCCTCTGCCCATAATGGTCCCCCATAACATCTCATTCCCTACCCCCTACACGCTGACATCAATCCCTGCACCGACTTGACCCGGAGTAACCCCCGCTAGTGTGTTACGATCTGTGATTGGCTGCTGGAGACGACGAGACATGGTCCGAGATGTGACGATCTGTGATTGGCTGCTGGAGACGAGGAGACATGGTCCGATATGTGATGATCGGTTGATTGGTTGCTGAAGGCGAGGAGACATGGTCCGAGATGTGACGATCTGTGATTGGTTGCTGGAGATGAGGAGGCATGGTCCAAGATGTGTCGATCTGTGATTGGTTGCTGGAGACGAGGAGACATGGTCCGAGATGTGACGATCTGTGATTGGATGCTGGAGACGAGAAGGCATGGTCCGAGATGTGACGATCTGTGATTGGCTGGTGGAGACGAGGAGACATGGTCCGAGATGTGACGATCTGTGATTGGTTGCTGGAGATGAGGAGACATGGTCCGAGATGTGACGATCTGTGATTGGTTGCTGGAGATGAGGAGGCATGGTCCGAGATGTGACGATCTGTGATTGGTTGCTGGAGACGAGGAGACATGGTCCGAGATGTGACGATCTGTGATTGGTGCTGGAGACGAGGAGACATGGTGCGAGATGTGACGATCTGTGATTTGGCTGCTGGAGACAAGGAGACATGGTCCGAGATGTGACGATCTGTGATTGGTTGCTGGAGATGAGGAGACAATAGTCCGAGATGTGACGATCTGTGATTGGTTTGCTGGAGACGAGGAGAACATGGTCCGAGATGTGACGATCCTGTGATTGGCTGCTGGAGATGAGGAGACATCGTCCGAGATGTGACGATCTGTGATTGGTTGCTGGAGACGACGAGACATGGTCCGAGATGTGACGATCTGTTGATGGCTGCTGGAGATGAGGAGACATGGTCCGAGAGTGACGATCTGTGATTGGTTGCTGGAGACGAGGAGACATGGTCCGAGATGTGACGATCTGTGATTGGTTGCTGGAGACGAGGAGACATGGTCCGAGATGTGACGATCTGTGATTGGCTGCTGGAGTACGAGGAGACATGGTCCGAGATGTGACGATCTGTGATTGGCTGCTGGAGACGAGGAGACATGGTCCGATACGTGACGATCTGTGATTGGCTGCTGGAGACGAAGAGACATGGTCCGAGATGTGACGATCTTGTGATTGGTTGCTTGAGACGAGGAGACATGGTCTGAGATGTGACGATCTGTGATTAGTTGCTGGAGAGCGAGGAGACATGGTCTGAGATGTGACGATCTGTGATTGGTTGCTGGAGACGAGGAGACATGGCCCCGAGATGTGACAATCTGTGATTGGCTGTTGGAGACGAGGAGGCATGGCCCGAGATGTGACGATCTGTGATTGGTTGCTGGAGACGAGGAGACATGGCCCGAGATGTGACAATCTGTGATTGGCTGTTGGAGACGAGGAGGCATGGTCCGAGATGTGACGATCTGTGATTGGTTGCTGGAGATGAGGAGATATGGTCCGAGATGTGACGATCTGTGATTGGTTGCTGGAGACGAGGAGACATGGTCCGAGATGTGACGATCTGTGATTGGCTGCTGGAGACGAGGAGACATGGTCCGAGATGTGACGATCTGTGATTGGTTGCTGGAGACGAGGAGACATGGTCCGAGATGTGACGATCTGTGATTGGTTGCTGAGATGAGGAGACATGGTCCGAGATGTGACGATCTGTGATTGGTTGCTGGAGACGACGAGACATGGTCCGAGATGTGACGATCTATGATTGGTTGCTGGAGATGAGGAGGCATGGTCCCGAGATGTGACGATCTGTGATTGGTTGCTGCAGACCGAGGAGACATGGTCCGAGATGTGACGATCTGTGATTGGCTGCTGGAGACGAGGAGACATGGTCCGAGATGTGACGATCTGTGATTGGTTGCTGGAGACGAGGAGACATGGTCCGAGATGTGACGATCTGTGATTGGTTGCTGGAGACGAGGAGACATGGTCCGAGATGTGACGATCTGTGATTGGTTGCTGGAGATGAGGAGACATGGTCTGAGATATGACGATCTGTGATTGGTTGCTGGAGACGAGGAGACATGGCCCGAGATGTGACAATCTGTGATTGGCTGCTGGAGACGAGGAGACATGGTCCGAGATGTGACGATCTGTGATTGGTTGCTGGAGACGAGGAGACATGGTCCGAGATGTGACGATCTGTGATTGGTGGCTGGGTGATGTAACTTGCCGACGCCTCTGCCCCGACTGGACGCTTTTGAGAAAAAAAGAGCTGCATAGCTTCATCAGATTCCTCCCCCAGGACAAATAAAGATTCTGACACTTAAGTCCAAGACAGAGCAGCCAACTCCGGCGAACTTGACTGAATTCGAGTCACGTCCCCGCGGAGACGGAGGCTCGGGGTTGTAATTGCCATGCTCGTGCTCAATGGGGTACCATTGTTCGTTGTGCCTGGCAGGACTGCAGTTCCCATGGAAGCCCTCCCGCACTGGGCCTGCTGAGGATGGATGGTGCCGGAGATCCTCACTACCCTCACCATCCTCACCCCGCTCACCCGTGCAGTGCCAGCTCGGGGCTGCCTGGGTCCGGCCACCTCGAGTTGGGAGCTCCGCTCCTGAGCCGAGACGGCACCTGGTGCGCCCTGGCCCTCGCCTGACCTGGCCTCGGCCTCGCCTGGACAGGCCCCTGCTGTGGCCTGCCCGAGCCTCATCTTTTCCTGATGGGGCCCGCTAGTCACACTCGTGAAATCAGGCCTGTGCAGGTCCTGCCCTTGCCTGAGCTGGCCTTGCCCTTACGAAGTTGGGCCGTGCAATCGCCTAACCCAGGCCCTCTACTCCCGGTCCCCGGACCAGGCCTGACTTTCGTTCCTGCCTCATTGGGCCTTGTCCCCTGGGCTGAGTGGACCCTCGAACTTTCCTCATGATCGGGCCTTACCTATGCCCAATTAGGCCTCTCACCTCTACCGGTCCCTGTGTGTGTGTGTTGTTGAGCAAACATTGGCGATTGCCACGTGGACACGCTGTGACAGGGGAGCGGGGGATGCGATGGACGTGTCCAATTTGAAAACACGAACTGTGAACGATCAGCCATGCATTGACGTCCGCTTACCCATAGAACTGCTCCATAGAACCTTCGACTAAAACTGAGCAAAGGGTGACTCTCGAAAAACTTCACCACATTGGGGCTTTCCCTCCTCAGCGGTGACCGGGAATGACTGTGATGAAGCCAAGCGGGAAAGCCACTGCTGGCTGCCTGCGAGTTCGTGTTCGTGAAGATGCAGCAAAGAGTGAAATGTGATGGGATGGAACCGCAGCAAGGGAAGGAGGGAAGAAAGGACGTTAGTTTGCAAGCACCTCTCCTTGGACCGCAGAGAGCAGCGTTGCTATCTCCAATTAGTACGCTTGGCTACGTACGGTGCGAAAAATGTTCAAGACGCCCTGGGAAGGCTGTCAGATCTTCCACGGCGGCAGCGGCCGTCTCCGACAAAGATGACGATCCTGGGAAAACCACGGGGACGGGCGGCAAAACCCGAGCCGATGGGGGAGTCGACACGGGAGAGAGGAAGACGCGAGCCGAATTACGGCAAGTTGATGGTGGTGAAAACGTGGACACAGTGAGGAACAGAAACTTTGAATGCCCCTAACACCGACACGCCACCGACACACCACCGACACGCCAGCGGACGGGGGCGGCGCGGTGGGGGAAGGTTCCACTATGTTTTTTCTGTAACATTCTTTTTAAAAGATAGCACAGGTAAAGGCGCAGCCCTGCAATGCCGTTGCTCGCAAACACTGCTGGCGAAAGGGGGTGCCCCCTCCCGCTAAAAGAGAGCTCTAGAGGGGCCCCCCCCCCCCCCCCGCTCTCGAGTGGTGGGTTCCCAATCTCTCCGGGAACCGCCACCGCACTCGCCAGCTGTCGGGGCGAATGTTCGCATGGAGCAACCAATGGCGCGCGGTGCGGGTGGAGGCGTGGTGCAACCGGCGCCAGCGGTCGGTTGCTTTGTAGCACCCACCGTGTTGACGAGTCACGAACGGCTGCACGTGTGTTTCGGCGAGCGAGTCATCGTCGGTATCTGCGGCAGCGACCGGCGGGGGTCGCGCTTCCCACGGCCCCTGGCAAGTCCCCAGGCACCCCCCCCCCTGTGAGCCGCTGCTCTGGAATCTGCAATCTCTGCAATGGTGATTGGGAACTGCGCTCTTTCCGCTCGCTCATTGTATGTTCCGTAAAACGTAGGGACCTCCGGTTGTTCGTCTCTTTTCACGTAGACTAACAATAATGCCGTCTATCCAACAATAATCTGGCGATTGAGCAGCGTTTGTTTAAAGAGGCCTGACTCTGCTGATGAGAAAATGAAGGTCAAAACCGCCGCTGATGCCAGATAACGTTGGTTTGGAAGGGCCGTAAGCCATGGGAGAAGTCAACTTTATTTTTTTATATGGAGAGACAGAACTGAGGACTATTTAGTCTGTTCTTTTACCCGGAACACTCCACGACTATGCGCGATGAGTTTTGTGTAATCTGTCAGAGTTTGCTCAACAGTTGACCTCCACCTAGTCCACCTCCTCCTCTGTCAATCGGTTCCCCCTCTTGCTGCGCGCTCCATGATTATTTAGCCGGAAGACTCCGCCTGCGCGGCTTGAGCGATATCACGACATCTCCGCTATGGGCCCTGGCCCTCTCAACACTCCGCACACAGTGAGAGAGAGACAGCATCCGCCTCGCGTCGGTAGACCACCCGGCCAGCGGTGGTGGTGGTGGCGGTGGCGGCACCGGCGGCGGTGGTGGCGGTCGCGATCAGTTGTGAATCGATACACAGTACCAGCCGGCAATAAAACCATTTTTTAAAAAACTATGAATCCTTTTTTTTTATTTTACCAAGTAAGACCCACTGAGCTATGTAGCTCTTTTTTCAGAAGCCACCTGGTGACAAATGATAGCTCAACGAAGTGACGTATCGTCATCATCATCATCATCACGTGGCCATTTATAGCAGCCAAATATTAATTCTAAATGTGGCAGGGAAAACCGGAGGACCTAAAATAAACCACACGACTAGGGGGGTGAGAAAGAGACATGCAAACTCCAAATATACAGCAGGCATCAGGGTCGAAATCGAACCTACAACCTTCTGTATACCAGGCGAGGTAGTTAACATCTCACCAGCCACCGCGGATGCACGGGTGTAAGGGGCCACCGAGATATTTACCACGGCCTCGGACCGCTGGCGCTTGCTGGCGCTGTTCCTTCTTGCTGCTGCTGCTCCACTCCCCATTGGGAGCGCCGTGGAACCTCTGTCAGGGGGGCGCCCCCCGTCGGCTCGCTTCTCTCTCCTCCTGCTACACCCCGCTGATGGCTCCTGGAGCAGTGGCCGGAGATCACCAGTGGGGGACGGGGGGGTCAAGGTCAAGCCGCCCGCCACTGACCTTTGAGCGGTCCTCCCCCCCCCCCCAGTGGAGCCGCAGACTCCGCGTCATCAACGCACTGGGCTGCTTGCCAGACGCGATGCTTGTCGTCCCCCGCCGGTTCCTCGCTATCCAGCCGTTCAGTCTTCTGTCGCTATCAGTGTGGGTGAGTGCCCCCCACCCCTCCCCGCGTTGAGGACTCGGTCCGGACTGGACACCGAACTGTCTTGGCACCGTCCACGCTGTCGCGTTCAGCCGGCAGCACACTGCAGGTTACAGCACACTCTCAGTTACTCAGCCACTCACCCACCTACCCACTCACTAACTCACCCACTCAGCCATCCACTCACCCACCCTCTCGCCCAATCATTCGCCAATTCACCTAACCACTCACCCACTCACGCACCCATTCACCCACTCACTCACCCATCCACTCACCTACCCACTCACCTACCCACTCACCTATTCACTCGCCCACTCACCCACACATTCACCCACCCACTCACACACCCATCCACTCACTTACCTACTTACTCACCCACACACTCACCCAGAGACTCACCCACTTACCCATCCATTCAGCTAACCACATACCTACTCACGCACCCATTCACCCACTCACTCACCCATTAAATCACCCACTCACCCACCCACTCACCCACCCACCCACTCACCCATCCATCCACTTATCCACTCACCCATTTACCCAACCACTCACCCATTAAATCACCCACTCACCCACCCACTCACTCACCCACTCACCCATTCACTCACCCATCCACCCACTCACCCATCCACCCACTTATCCACTCACTCACCCATTCACCCAACCACTCACCCATTAAATCACCCATTCACTCACTCACCCACCCACACACCCATCCACCCATTTATCCACTCACTCACCCATTGACCCAACCACTCACCCATCCACTCACCGCAATGCAGGTCACCTCACCTCTCTATTTGACTCGATCCCTCACCCCACTCCACCCTCGAACTCCCTCCTCCCATCGACGCTTTCCCTCGGCATAACCTCACTGCTCAATTCAAGACGCGCGTTACACCCTTATCTGACACACAACGTCCGATAGATAGCACTGTTTGTCGTTTTGGGCCTTTGGGGCGTGGGGGGGCGTCGGTGGGGGTGGTGGTTAGGGGGCGGGTGGTAGGGGGGGGGTCTGTGATCGAGGACCACTGTAAAAAAAAAATCCACGAAAAAAAAGTGAAAAAACCCCCGAGCCGCTACCCCGGCTCTCTCGGTTAGGCCGTTCCGCTTCCCGACGTCGTCCACGTTTGTTTTTCTTGGCCACCACCACGGCGTCCCCACTTATCTCAGGACCCCCCCGTCCCCCGCCATCCCCACCACCCTCCCCGCGTAGTCCCGTGGTCACTGCGGATGTCTCCCATAGAAGCCCCGGGGTTCCTTTTTCCGGGGCAACAACTTCTATGTTTGGTAGCAACAGCAGCAGCAGCGGCGGCAACAGCAGCGGCAACAGCAACAGCGTCAGCAGCGGCAGCAGCAACAGCGGCAGCTGCAGTGACAACAGCGGCAGCAGCAGGGACAGCAGGAACAGCAGCAACAGCAGGAACAGCGACACAGCGGCTGTGGCGGCGGCGGCAGCAGCAGCAGCAATAGGGGGCGGCGTCGACTCCCACCAGCTGACCAATCAGCGCTCAGACTGCCCGCCGAGGCCCCCACGCGGGCGAGACGAACGGAGGAGTGGCAGCCACAAAGGGAACTACGACGATTTGGTTTATATTTGTTAGACGTCCCAAGAGAACTACGACGATTTGGTTTTATTTGTTAGGCGTCCCAAGAGAACTACGACTATTTTGTTTTATTTGTTAGACGCACCAAGAGAACTACGACGATTTGGGTTTTATTTGTTAGACGCACCAAGAGAACTACGACTATTTTGTTTTATTGTTAGGACGCCCCAAGGGAACTACGACTATTTTGTTTTATTTGTTAGACGCCCCCAAGAGAACTACGACTATTTTGTTTTATTTGTTAGACGCCCCAAGAGAACTACGACTATTTTGTTTTATTTGTTAGACGCCCCAAGAGAACTACGACTCTATTTTGCTCTATTTGTTAGACGCCCCAAGAGAACTACGACTATTTTGTTTATTTGTTAGGCGTACCCAAGAGAACTACGACTATTTTGTTTTATTTGTTAGACACCCCAAGAGAACTCCAACTATTTTGTTTTATTTGTTAGACGCCCCAAGAGAACTGCGACTATTTTGTTTAATTTGTTAGACGTCCCAAGAGAACTACGACTATTTTGTTTTATTTCGTAGACGTCCCAAGAGACTACGACTATTTTGTTTTATTTGCAGGCGTCCCAAGGGAACTACGACTATTTTTGTTTTATTTGTTAGACGCCCCAAGGGAACTACGACTATTTTGTTTTATTTGCAGGCGTCCCAAGGGAACTACGACTATTTTGTTTTATTTGTTAGACGCCCCAAGAGAACTACGACTATTTTGTTTTATTTGTTAGACGTCCCAAGAGAACTACGACTATTTTGTTTTATTTGTTAGGAGCCCCAAGGGAACTACGACTATTTTGTTTTATTTGCAGGCACCCCAAGAGAACTACGACTATTTTGTTTTATTTGTTAGACGTCCCAAGGGAACTACGACTATTTTGTTTAATTTGTTAGGACGCCCCAAGAGATCTACGACTATTTTGTTTTATTTGTTAGACGCCCCCAAGGGAACTACGACTATTTTGTTTTATTTGTTAGATGTCCCAAGAGAACTACGACTATTTTGTTTTATTTGTTAGGCGCCCCCCAAGAGAACTACGACTATTTTGTTGTATTTGTTCGGCGTCCCAAGGTAACTACGACAATTTTGTTCTATTGTTAGACGCCCCAAGAGAACTACGACTATTTTGTTTTATTTGTTAGACACCCCAAGAGAACTACGACTATTTTGTTTTATTTGTTAGACACCCCAAGAGAACTACGACTATTTTGTTTTATTTGTTAGACGCCCCAAGAGAACTACGACTATTTTGTTTTATTTGTTAGACGCCCCAAGAGAACTACGACTATTTTGTTTTATTTGCAGGCGCCCCAAGAGAACTACGACTATTTTGTTTTATTTGCAGGTGCCCCAAGAGAACTACGACTATTTTGTTTTATTTGTTAGACGCCCCAAGAGAACTACGACTATTTTGTTTTATTTGTTAGACGTCCCAAGGGAACTACGACTATTTTGTTTTATTTGTTAGACGTCCCAAGGGAACTACGACTATTTTGTTTTATTTGTTAGACGCCCAAGAGAACTACGACTATTTTGAATTATTTGTTAGACGCCCCAAGGAGAAATACGACTATTTTGTTTATTTGTTAGACGCCCCAAGGGAACTACGACTATTTGTTTATTGTTAGACGCCCCAAGAGAACTACGACTATTTTTGTTTTATTTGTTAGACGCCCAAGAGAGCTACGGACTATTTTGTTTATTTGTTAGACGTCCCAAGAGAACTACGACTATTTTGTTTTATTTGTTAGACGCCCCAAGAGAACTACGACTATTTTGTTTTATTTGTTAGACGTCCCAAGAGAACTACGACTATTTTGTTTTATTTGTTAGACGCCCCCAAGAGAACTACGACTATTTTGTTTTGTTTGTTAGACGCCCCAAGAGAACTACGACTATTTGTTTTATTTGTTAGACGCCACCAGGAACTACGACTATTTTGTTTTATTTGTTAGACGCCCCCCAAGCAGAACTAACGACTATTTTTGTTTTATTTGTTAGACGCCCCAAGAGAACTACGACTATTTTGTTTTATTTGTTAGACGCCCCAAGAGAACTACGACTATTTTGTTTTATTTGTTAGGCGCCCCAAGAGAACTACGACTATTTTGTTTTATTTGTTAGGCGCCCCAAGAGAACTACGACTATTTTGTTTTATTTGTTAGACGCCCCAAGGGAACTACGACTATTTTGTTTTATTTGTTAGACGCCCCAAGGGAACTACGACTATTTTGTTTTATTTGCAGGCGTCCCAAGGGAACTACGACTATTTTGTTTTATTTGTTAGACGCCCCAAGAGAACTACGACTATTTTGTTTTATTTGTTAGACGCCCCAAGAGATCTACGACTATTTTGTTTTATTTGTTAGACGCCCCAAGGGAACTACGACTATTTTGTTTTATTTGTTAGACGCCCCAAGGGAACTACGACTATTTTGTTTTATTTGTTAGACGTCCCAAGAGATCTACGACTATTTTGTTGTATTTGTTAGGCGTCCCAAGAGAACTACGACTATTTTGTTTTATTTGTTAGACGTCCCCAAGGGAACTACGACTATTTTGTTTTATTTGTTAGACGCCCAAGAGAACTACGACTATTTTGTATTATTTGTTAGACACCCCAAGGGAACTACGACAATTTGTTTTATTTGTTAGACGCC